ATTAAACCTGTAAAACATTTTTAGCAAATTACTTGAGACCAGAGCTACGAAATGAAAAATTATGACAAAGGTGAAAAATAATCGGTAATTATTAAGGGAACAATAAGTATCTTAAAATGATGGAGATAAATTTAACCATATTTACCTCTTTTTAACTTAAATTTTTTAGTTGCTACTTCTCAATTTTTGAAGTTTATTGTTCTTGAAACATTTTTTATAATAAATGGAATTATTTATTGTTTTGACAAAACAGATGGTAAAAGTCAAGAGGCTTCTTCATTTAGGCATAAGCCCCCGGTGACTCCAGAAAATGGTTAGTTCTTTTTATGTGTTTAAATTGTTTTTCTTTTTTTGAAGCGGTTGGTGCCTGAACTTTGTTTTGCAATTATAAATATTATATCATAAACCTGTTTAAATAAATGAATGAATCACATACAATTCAATATTTGATTCTATCTAAAGTAATTCACAATTTTAATTATATTTCATACATACAGGCGGTGACTGGTTGGCTCGACGACATGAGAGACTTTATTTCATTCAAAAATGATACTATTAAATGCGTGTATGTGTTTGTTCTATTCTACATGTTTAAGTGTGTACATAATTTTATACATATATTGTTTGAGTCTGTGTGTAAATGAGTTAATGCGCATAATATATTTTTATTTTCTATACATTTTTTTGATTTCTGACGTTAAATTTGACCGTTATGACTTAAAATTAATTGAAATAAAATTTCAATTTCTATGCTCAAGTATAATCATATTTTACGTCTTGATATTTTATATTTTTCCATATTTTTATATTTTAAAGACACTGGTACAATTTTTTTTAGAAATTTTTACAATATTTCATAAAGCAATTACATATAATTGAATAGATAATTTTTTTTAAAGCAATGATGTCAAACTCGCCAATTAATTCAATAGCATGTGTCTCGTAATTTATTTAGCCAACCAACCAGTCAAACCAACCGATCTACCAACCAGTCAGATCAACCAACAAAATCATTCTAACCAACTAAAACTACCAACCATTCAAATCAACCAACACAACAATTCTAACCAACCAGTCTACATACCAACCATTTAAAACAACCATTCAATCCCTTCTAGCAAACAATTCGCTTGTTTGCTAGCTAGAGAAGCTAGAAAAAGCATACATTGTCGCCCAAACGTCACGTTTCAAGGATTTCTAATACAATACGTACCGTACATATATATATATATATATATTTATATATATATATTGGATTAAGACTATTGATGACAATCCCAGCATGTTCGGCGTTAGTTAACTTTCAATTTAATTTATCCAACGGTTGATCGTAAATCATTTTCAAGTTTCTTTAATTCAAAACCAAAATTTTTGTTTATTTTATGCATTATAGAACAGAAAAGCTTTTTTCGGTATACCCATACCATCTTCGGTGTTCAAATTGATATGTTGTGTTTGTGCCCAGTTGACCAAATATATATCCCACTGTGCCCCTACTCTAATATGTGTATATAGATATGTTTTTATATATTTTATTATATTCAAAAACACAAACTCTGACTCGCTGAAACACACACACATGCACACAATCAATCATTCATGCATTTAAATAAATAAATATTGATAGATGAATATATACATATATATCTATATATATATTTATATTATATCACAACAGAATAAAAATAATCGTATTTTTATTCTGTTGTGATATTTTTGTTTGTTAATTTTAGGTACCTTTAATTCATCATTTGTTAAATATGTCTTGTTCTTTCTGCAAGCAAAAATTATTATTATTTTTATTATGTTATTCAAATCATACATGGAATATAATGCATTGTGTTCAAGAGTTTGTTGCGATTCATCTAAATACTCACATATCCGTAGTTACTAGCGCCAACCTCGCAAGGATCTTATATTTACATGAGCATTATCATTGATTTTCAAAAATTAGTAATTGAAAAAGTTTTTTTTAATTTTTTTATTTATTTGGGCCTAATATTGGTGTAGCATCATGCAAGAAGTAACAACAAGTGTAGATTCCACTAGCACTACCTGGCTGTGGGTGCTGTTGGGGTTCAGTTTGTTTGGAGCCGTTGCAGTCACTACTTTTACTGTTGTCGTCACTCGAGGTTATTTTTCCAATGTTTCCAGCTGTTGATTGAATTTTTAAAATGTTAGAATCACGTAGATTTGTAAACTTACAAATCTAGTTTATGCCTCATTTATCGTTTATTTGCAAAAAGAACGCAAAAATCTGTGAATGATAAAATATAATTTCGCATCTTTTGTATTTCATTTGTTTTTCTTTGAGCAGATTTTCATAACTTATGCTAAATTTGTTATTTATTTTAGCATGAATTTTCGATATTAATTTTTTATTCTATTTATCCTTCGCACGTTGTACAAAAATCTGAGTCAGTCTGAGTTTCAAAGAATCTTAAAATGTTTAGACTTTCAACAAATCAATTGAGAAAAAATCATTTTCTGTTATATTTAAATTATTAACAATGTGTGCAGACTAGCCCTTCTACTCGTTTGAATCAATCAATCAAGCATTTTATTTGAAAGACGTTATTTTCGAGATGTCCAACGGGACATTTAGAAGGAATGCTGCAAAGAGATGGATGTCGAGATCTCCGAACTTTTATGTGATGGAGAAGAAGTTTGAGAAGAAGGGAGTGAGATCTAAAAAAAAATCAGAAAAAGCAAAATCAATTTTAGCGCAAGAGATTAGTACGAGAAGACGATCGTAGACAGAGGTGCCGATCAATCTACCTTCACATTACATTAACTTTAACCACGGTCAAAATTAAGAATATCAATTTATTTATTCATTTTTAATTAATTAATTTATTTATTTTATTTATTAATTTATTTATTGACACAACTGGCCAGGTAAGGATACAGACCATTTACTCGTAAACTGATCTGTAATTTTCCACTAACATAATGACAAATAGATAAATGAAGGGAACATTTAAACGATATGCAGGTATGCAGTCAATTGAACAATCGCTAATAATCAATAAAGTTTTTTACACCATATGGCAGACTAGTTAGGTGGTAATATAACGTTATAAGTATTAATTTGAAAATAATAAAAATAATTTGATAATAATAATAATAAAAATAATAATAATAATATGAAAATTATAATAATAAATAATAATAAAAATAATTTGAAAAAGTTACATCGAACAAACACACACACACAAACACACACACGCAGGCACACACACTGACTCACAAACACATACACACAAAATCGAAAACACACATGCACATGAATTGCGTAACTAGGCTTTAACGAAGTAAAATTCTAAATTGATTTAAAAGTTGGTTAAAATGAAAGTGTGTGATACTATTTACTTCAATTGGATCTTTTTTATTTCAATTAATCGTGGTTGGAATAAAATGAAATATGTAAAAAAATTATTGCGCCTTCGAGTTTAGGCATTGCTAGCATACATGGAATGGAATTCACTCAATGAGTAATAAATACAATGATGTGTAAAGCTTGCATTTACAGCATACAACAATGGCGACGAGTTCTTTTGAAGAGATTTTTATGATTGCAATTCTTTAGAGCAACGCAATAATGTAAGCTCGCTCGTGTATGTCATGATAAAACTGCGTGTACATATACTGAATCAACAACACAGCACACGACGCACACACAACACAACACACGACCCACACACAACACATACGCATCGCAAGAACGTTCACATCTTATTTTGACAACCAGCCATACATGACACTTGAAAATTTTAAATGTGTGAAAAAGAAATGATGACGAAATATTTAGAAATATAAAATTCATTTTATTATCTGGTCCAGTAGAATAAGTCCAGAGTAATACTTTATTTTCGACTAGATTCTCCGGCTAATAATTTTAAAATAAAATATATTTTCAAATTAAAAAAAAAATTTGTTGCTGGTTAGTTTGTCAGTCTTATGATATGACATCAACTTAAAAACACTTTATGAAAACATGTTATTGTTGTGACCTCCTCGGCCTGGTAACTACCAACACCAATGTTATAACTTCAATAATCTCTATATCTCCAACACCGTGTTGTAGCTTCCAACGATAGTCAAAAGTTCTTTATCCATGGGTTCAAGATTTCCGATAGATGAACGCAACTACTTCAAACGCAAACTGAGTTGAACGTTTATTTGAATACCAGCAGTAATAGAAACGATAAATTAGTCCAAATATTAGTATCATAGTCCAAATAGTATAAATGTGTAGTATAAATCACATTTACGACTTCGCATCAAATCTCACTTCTAGTTCAACTATTACCACTCAACGTTTTTTACCAATCAACTCCCCTGTTGTTCTTCTCTGGGACTTATTCTTCTTTATATAGATACCGATGTGCTGGTAAATGTGCCTAATAAAAGTGTCACGTCCTTAAATGAGTTTACAACGCTCTAATTAATTTACAAGCTTAACTATTAAGTCTCCATCTCGACCTCAAGTCTGTAACATTATCATAACATCATTATTTTGTCAAGATTATTTTTGTTTGTTAATTTGTATATAAATTTTTAATAAAAAGACAGTAAAATAAATTAATTCTCACTTCTTTCAACGTCATAAAATGTTAGTGGCATTGAAAGCGGTGACAACAAGCATGGCCTCAACTGCAGCAGTAACGAGCTTGGCCTCAACTGCAGCAGCAACAACGAGTTTGACATCAACAACAACGAGTTTGACATCAACAACAACTAACTTACCATCAACAACAACTAACTTGCCATCAACAACAACAGGCGAGTTTTATTATTCAACGACGATTTTGCAAGTTATATATTAATAGGAAAATTAGTTTAACTTTAGTTAAAAATTTGAAATCTCAGTGTAAATATTATATTGTCAGAGATATCTGAGTGATGAGTTTGCTTTGATGGTGATGGTCGGTTACTGCGCTTATCTGGTTCGAAAGCAGAATTGAATTGGAACAGTTACGGAAAGCCAGCAAAATACGTAAATCATCTTACTCTTTTTTGAGACTTTAGGCTGTGTGACTTGATCATGCAGTAGTCCCGTGCTTTAACTTAGCTGGAAATATGCACATCGTGTGGTGTCGATGTTCATTTTGCTCTATCTCTTTGTGGGAAAAAAGTGTAAATGCTATTAAATGCAACATGTAAACAGCTCTGCGCGAGTTAGAACTTCATTTAAAATTTCATAAAAAAAAGTTCAATCAAATAATTCATTCAAAATAATAATGAACTTGTGATTCAGGTTGCCAGTCCTACGACGGAACGTCGTTTTTTCCCGAGTACCTGCAGGGTTTAAACCCAAACAATTCCTACACGGTGATTGATAGATTAATGTTCAGAAACTTTTCCGCCCAGGCCCTGTTAGTCAGTTTCTCAATGTATCTAGGGAATTGTGGATCCGTCTACGCTCTTTCTGTTTACACTTTTAACCAAATCGACGATGTAACTATAAACACATATGAACTCTCGGATAACACCACTCGTGACGACACGGTTCGTTGAATTATGTTTAACATTAAAATTTGTAGTGTGTATACATTGGTTAATAATTTATATAAATACGAATGAATGAATAAATAAATGAATATATATATATATATATATATATATATATATATTAAGAATTTATTAATGCATATATGCAGCATGAATTCGGGATATATACACAATTATTTATAAAGATCACTGCGTTTTCGACATTATTCAACTTGTAGTTGTATAACTACAAGTCGAATAATGCCGAAAACGCAGTGATATGTATATATATACACACACACATATATATATATATATATATATATATATATATATATATTATTAAATGAAAATTTATAAATCGCTTTTTAATAAAATCTCAAAAGCGCCTACAATAAGTGCAAGAAAAAATAAATAAGACAAAAGAAAGAAAGTTGATTGTCACTCAGTTAAATGTCAGAACACACATATATTAACACAAAATCAATAAATAAATAGATGACCAAAAAGAAGTAATGCTAATTCAAATGACGATTTTTAGGATTTATCCACACAAGTTACTAGGTATGTACAAAAATTCAACGCAATAATCAACAAGCCTCACAACGAATTATTAACCGACACAAGAATTAAAACAACATAATGATAGTACCGTACCGACTAATAAAGAACATAAAAAATAAAAAAAATAAATAAAAAAAAATTTCATTTTCATAATCACATTTAATTACAAGAACCAAAAAGCTGCTTAAAAAGCAGCAACTTTAATTGTTTACAAAATAGAGGAAATAATTCAATCTTACTGTTGTTAATCTCAATCGAAGTGAAATTTAATTTGTTTATTTGCTGCCACGTACCAATTGGCAATAACTGGGTTTTGCATTGATTCATTTTGAGTTTGTGCTTGATCATCCAAGAATCAATCGCCTCCATGCACAATCAATCGCCTCCATGCACATATATATATATGTATATATAAATTATTTTCAAGTTTCTTTAGTTCGAAACCAAAATTTTTGTATATTTTATGCATGATAGAACAGAAAACCTTTTTTTGGTATATATATATATATGTATATGCATATATATATATGTATATATATATATATATATATATATATATATATATATTGGTAATAGACCATAATTTTTACAATATTCTATAAATTCTACCGAATGTTTGGCGTTAATATGTTTGTAGTTCGTTTTTTCAATTTTTCTCACTAAAGTTTTTTGGTGAACGTTTAGTTTATTAAAATTCAAAATAAACTTATTTTCCGAATTCATGCTGCATATATGCATTTATAAATTCTTTCCGGCATAAGTTTAGTTCATTTTTGACACTGCAATCAACATCACAGTGATCCCATTGATTCAACAATTCAGTTAGTTGATTCGACAAGTCTTGAACTACCTTCCTTTTAACTTCTAATTCTCGAGAGAGATGGAGCAGTCGCTGCTCGCGATCTTGTTTGATTGTTAGATTGCGTCGGTTGGTCGCAGGAATTTGTAATGAATTTCACGTGATGATACATAGCCAGTCGTGAGTCAAGGATGCAACTCAAGTTGACAGCCTTGGAAGAGAATTTAATCTCCTGATCATTAATGATAGCTGAATCAATTTTAATCCTTGAGATTTGTTGCCTTGTCCCAATTGGCAATAATTGTTTTAACATTGATTCAACTTTAAGCGGTTGCTAGACATCCAAACATCTATTTTCGTCAAACATTCAATGAATTTGTTCAGCATAACTGGAAACTCACTGGGTGGCCTAGTGACAATGATTTGGATATCATCAGCATAAGCGTGACTGTAGAAACCAAATGAATCGATTAATTGAAGAATATCTGCTGTGTATAAAACAAATAATAGGGGCCCTTAAACTGAACCTTGTGGCACACCGGTAACGACCGGCTGCGTGTCTGACAAATTGTTGTTGAACAGCATTTGCTGCGTTCGATCTGTTAAGTAAGACAGAAACCATAGTTTTGCTGTTCCCGATATACCAAACTGTTTCCCCAGACGGTCCAGCAAAATACTATGATAAACGCAATCAATCACTCATGTCCAAAAGCACCAAGATAGAAACATTTTTTGTATCAGTCACTGAAAATAACGTAGACAAAATATCCAACAGGGCTGTCTCCGTCGAGTGATGTTGTCTGAATCCTGACTGATGCACAGGCAGCAAACAATTTTGTTCCAAATTACTAGGCTAACTAGTTCATTAGCAACTATTCGTTCCATAATCTTAGACATAAACGGAAGATTTGAAACTGGTCTGTAGTTATTTTCATCGCTTTTATCCAACCCATTCTTCTTTAAAATAGGTATGACCAGAGAATGTTTGTACAAAACAGGAAATTTTCCAGTACTCAAACAAAGATTGATAAAGCTGGTGACAAACTTAGAAAATAAATTAAAATGTTTCTTGAATAAGTGCGCAGGCAAGCAATCGAGACCACAGGTTTTAGACGGTGAATTCAAAATTATTCGCTTCAAATCATCCTCGGTGTACTCAGCAAAGGATGAAAATACATTGTTGTTATAATTACTACTAGCAACTGATAGTGTGTCACTGAATGCTGTAGATTTCATAACTTTGTCAATTTTGTCACCAAAAAAATTTAAAAGCGATTACGCCGATAGTTTGGATTCATTTGGACAACATGCAGATGTATTGTCTTTGCAAAGCATTTTATTTAGAATTTTCCAGAGCTGCTTTTGATTGCACTTTCCATCGTTGATCAGTTTTTTCCAATAACCATTTTTCTTATTTGAGAGAAGACGTTTTTTACCATTCAATGCAACAATCCATGCTGTTTTATTTACCACAGACAATGTTTTCCTAAAACCTCTTTCCATCTTTCTGCAATTAGATTTGGAACGGCAACATTCATTATCGAACCAAGGAGCCATAGAATCCTGTCTGATTTTAACAAAATGCGTTTGAACTCCTTTTCAAACAAATCCAACAAAGCATCAACATCACTACCCTGATATGGCTTACTGATAAAGGAATCAAGAACCAATTTGCTGAATTGATTTTCACGAATTTTGTTCCAGAACAAACTTGTTTTTCGCGACGAATTATGCAAGGCAAGTCAATTGGAAAAAGCAGTTGAATAAGACAGTGGCCAGAATAAGATGATATTTTACTATCAGAAACAAGGAATTTTTTAGATGTTACAATCAGATCCAATATGCCTTCTTAGGAGTTGGCTCATTGACTTTGTTTACTAAATTGAAAATATCGAAAACATCCAGCAGGGAGACTGTGCGAGGATCATTCTTATTTTCGACGTGAATATTGAAATCATCTGCTACTAAAACATTACCACTCATCACAGTAATGATCTCCAAGATATCAACCAGTTCACTGAAAAATTGCAACAAAACTGGAGCAGATCAAGGTCTGTAAATGGCTAGCAAGACAACGCCAATCCCATTTATCCTGAACCTCACGGCTAACGCCTCAAAAGTAGATGTTGCCGGCAATTCAATTATTTTACAGTTATAATTATTTCTGAAGTAGACTATGATTCTACCGTGAAGCGGGTCGTGAGGTCTCAGGAAATCAATAAAATCATAACACGAGGGCATAGCCATTTTAACAGAAACTTTATCATAAGACCTGCGCCAGGTTTCTGTTAAAACCAAAATATCAAGTCCATCATGTATTATTTCATAAATCATATCGTATTTCATAATAATGGATCTAACATTCAGTAATCCAAAACAAATATTTAATTTTTTAAAAGAGCTATTGTTTCTTCCTGATCTCTTCAAAATACCTTTATTTTGAACAATCGAATGTCATTGGCTTTTCGATCTGATATACTGCAGCATCGCTGCTGACCCCATCACTATCATAATCACTACAACTGAACAAACATCCACCACCAGGACCATCAGCAATACTTTCCTCAAAAATCACTTTGCCGGATGTTCTTTGAGTTTGACAATCCGTCACTTTCCCACCGTTCCCCCTCACCTTGAATAAAAAACTCGGGCATGAGACTTTTCTTGATTTGGCTTCATCAATTAGCTTTTTTAACTCCGCACGTTGATCAACTGTTAAAACATGACTGATCCATACTTTATCAAGATTTTCATGCATAGTTTTTAATTTAAACGAATTTTTAAAGACCAATTCTTTAATTGCATAACTCCTCATTTCAATCAGTACTGGTCTAATTTTAGTTTCTGCTTTTGGACCCAGTCTAACAATTTTTTTAATATCCTGGTCCTTGACATCACTGGATAACTTTTTAATAATTCCTTTGACTCTATCTTTATCATCATCACTTTCTTGCAAATTGAACATCATTATGTTATTCTCTCTCTCTTTCATGTCATTAACATTGGTTAAAGTTTTTTGAAAACTTTTAACCTCATCATTAACTAGTTCAATATTTTTCTTTACTTCACATCGGACAGCATCAGCCAAACTTTTGTTTAAATCATCTTTAAGGCTACACAGCTCAGTACTCAAATCAGTGCCATCGAATCTTTCTGCCTTACCAACATTTTTCTGAATTAAACCTTTGATAACTTCAAGTTCACTCCTCAACAAAATGTTCAATTCATCAATTTTGTCAATTTTGGTGTTGAGCGCATCATTGCTATCACGTACATCTCTAATTAGTGACTTTACGTCAAGAAGTAGTTTCATGCATTCATCACAAAACCACTTAATATTAGACATGGAACTGATAACTTTGAAGGTTGATTTACTTATTCCGACACAGTCTTGGTGAAAAGCAAGTTGACATTGAAAGCACTGAATTGACTCTTTATCCTCTACCTTTCTAGAACATTGACATCCTTTAATCGACATTATTATTTCAAAAAGAATGTTTCCAAGTCAGTTAATAAAAATATATTATAAATGTTTTTAGAAAGTAAGCAGTCTGCAAGAACAAACACACAAAACAACAAACACTTCAACTTTCAAAACAATACAACTTCTATAAACTATCCTTTATTGTTTACAACTTTAACTTTATTTCTATGCTAATTAACCACGAATTAAAAATTAAACCAAGAAATAGTGAAAAATAAAACAAAATTAATGCAAACAACCAACTAAAACAAAAATTATATCCTCTTATTCTTCTAAATTTACATTATAAAACGAAATCAAAATTAAATCAAACACTATAATATCCTATAAAACTTTAGAAAAATACGGAGAAAATCGAAAACACTGTTGTTGAGTCAAAATCCAATATATATATGTAAATTATATTCAATATAATTATCTATGTTTAGGTATTCTTTGAATTTCTATTCTGTGCTTGTAAATTATGTTTCATTACTTTGGTATTATCTTATATATAAATGCAAATAGCACGGGGTTATATTTTATTATCGTTGGCTTTGTAAACGATCCTGGAATTTAATTTTTCTACTTAGATTAATAAATCAGGTTATTCGAAAGCAAACTTATAAATTATATTCCAAAAAAGAAGATGGCTTCAAAAATATGTAAGCTGTATTTTCATATTATTAAAAGAAATAATGACGAATTCGAATTAGCGGGCATATCGGAAAATAAAGAAGCATGGTATGTCCTACCTGAAGAGAAGAAAGATTTAAGTTTGTACGAAGCTCTATCTACGAAGCGAGCAATAATCAATACAATTAATTCTATCAAACCTATCAACGGTTATCGCACAATTTGCATCAAACTCGATGATGAATTGAGAAAAGAATATTACGACGAAGACGAAAATCTATGTTTTTTAGATAATATGTTAGAAGAAAAAATTATTGATAATAAACAAAGAGATGAATCAGATGACAATTTTTTATATGAACGAATTAAGGAATTAGAAGCTAAGCTAAGTCTGAATGATAACTTTAAGCTGCAAGACGTTGAAAAAAAATTTATTCTGGAAAAATTCAACAAAAAGCAAAACCCTACTGAATGGATAGAGAAATTTGAAAATGAATGTAGAAGGCATAAAATACTAAATCCTACTAATTTCATAGAAACATTACGCTTCTTTTTATCTGGGTCACCGGAAGATTGGTACGAATCAAATTTAAAAAAGATCGGCTTAACTAGTTGGTCAGAATGGAGAAAGTCCTTTCTGACCATTTTTGCAGATAGAGGTTGGAAAAAAATAAGAACCGCATATAATTACAAATATTTAGGTGGTTCTTTAATAGACTATGCCTTAGCGAAGGAAAACTTATGTTTAGAAATTGAAATGTCGAGAATAAACATGATCGTTATGGGCCTTCCTGTAAAAATACAAAACCAGCTTGATAGAGAAGAAATAACGACCATTGAGAAACTGTTCAAAGAACAAACAAAAATTGATGAATGCGTTTTCAACATCAAGCCGATATATGACAATAAATTTTTAAGTAATGAAATACCATAGAATACGGATGTAAAGACAAAGCAACTTTATCAACACAAACAGAGATATGAAAAGTAGAAAAAGAAATTTCGGTGCCAAAATACAAAGTAGAAGCAAAGACAAATAATACTCTAAATAAACAAAACCAAAGATATGAAAATAACACTCTAAATAAAGAAAATTTTGTTAAACCAAATTTTATCAGGTCAGAGAAGAATATTAATACCACAGCAAATAAACCATGTTTTATGTGTGAAGAATTGGGCTGGAAAAATCGATACCATCCAACAAATGAATGTAGAAATAAGACTCTTTACTCATCAAAAAGAGAAATTAATATTCATGATACTAACTACCAAATAGATGACGAAGCACATATGATGAAAATTGAAATTGACAAGAAATCTTTAAACTAGAAAGCCCGGGAAAATTGAATGCACTGATAAGAGTAAACGTAATAATCGATAATAAATTAAAAGTTAAAGCGGTTTATGATAGTGGATCAAATATAAGTCTAATAAATAGGAAAATCATAGATATTTTAAAACTAGGCTTAATGAATTTATAGAAGTACTTTCAAAACCATCAGTGGGTTCAATTTTAGTTCGGCCCGGGCAAATATGGTTGTTAAGGTTGGTAATTTAACGGATAATTTAAATACATACGTAGTCAAAAATAACAATTTTTCCTATGACCTATTACTGGGTCTAGATGCAATAAAAAAGTTAAAACTAATTCAAGATGAAAATTTTAACATTCTACAAAGAATTAATAAAAACAAGATCATCAAAATAGAGATGAATAACAATCACAACATGGTTAAATCAGATGAACTGACTAACAACCAATTTAATCTACAAAAGGCAGAAAAAAATAATTTAATTAAAATTTCAGAAGTCAATTTTAACGAAAATATGAATAATACAATTTGCGAAAATTTAGACCACATTGAAGATGAAAATAGAAAAAAAGATATTTAAAATTTAATAAACAAGTACAAACATATGTTTGCAAAAGATAAATATGATGTAGGAAAAGTGAAGTCTAAAGAAGCAGAAATAAAATTAACCAAAGATGAATATGTAACAGCAAGACCATATAAATGTTCCATAGTTGATGAAGAGGAAATCAAGACTCAAGTCAAGAAGTTATTAGAAGCTGATTTACTTGAAGAATTGGAATCCCCTTATGCCTCGCCAGTAACTCTTGCTTTAAAAAAAAAGAGGATGGTCGTCGGACAAGACTTTGCATTGATTTCAGACGATTAAATAAATTAGTAGTTCCTGAATGCTATCCATTCCCTACTATTAATGATGTCATAGATAAGATACCAAATTGCAAATATTTCACTGTACTTGATATAAATTCTGCATTTTGGTGTATATTATTAAAAAAGGAAGATAGAGAAAAAACTTCATTTATCACTAAGTATGGAAAATTCATGTTTAAGGTTTTACCCTTTGGACTTAAAAATTCTCCAGCAATTTTTCAACGTATTCTATCCAATATCATAAGAAGAAATAATCTGGACAATTTTTGCATTAACTATATTGATGACATACTTATATTTTCACGCTCTTGGGAAGGACACATTATTCATATTGAAAAAATTCTACAAATTATAACACAAGAAGGTTTTAAATTAAAATTAGGAAAATGTAAGTTCGCTGCTAAAACCATTAAATATCTTGGACATTTTATTCAAGAAAATAAAGTAGCACCAGCTCATGAAAATTTAATCGCCATCAAGAATCTTAAGAGACCAACAGATAAAACAGGAGTTAGAAGTGTGTTAGGATCTATTAACTTCTACCATAAATACATCGAAAATAGTGCTCAAAAATTTGAACCACTGCATAAGCTTTTGAAAAAAAATGTTAAGTTTCATTGGTCCCAAGATTGTGAAGATTCTTTCAAATAGATAAAAGAATATTTATGTTCTCAGCCAATCTTAGCCATTTACGATAAAGCCAAAGACACTTATATTGAAACTGATGCCAGTTATAAAAGAATGGGAGCTACTTTGAAACAACTACATCCTGATGGTATGTTACATCCTGTCGCATACTTCTCAAGAAAATTATCAGAAAAAGAAAAAAAAAGCACATCATTCATCTTGAATGCAAAGCTATCAAAGACACAATAAAATACTGGCAATATTATTTGATTGGTCGTGAATTTGTTGTTTGTAGTGACCACAAACCTCTAGAGAATCTAAAAACTAAAAGTAGAACAGATGAAATATTGGGCGATTTAGTGCACTATTTGTCTCAATTCAACTTAAAAATTATTTATAAGAAAGGAAAGGAAAATATAATGGCTGATTTACTTTCTCGATCACCAGTATTAGAATATTTTGAAAATGAGGATGCAGTCCAAGTTGTAAATTTAATTGCAAGACCTGAAATTCTTCAGGATCAAAATGATAACATGACTGAATTAAAGAGTGCCAAGAAGATTGAAAAACGCCATGGTATTATTTACAAAAAATTGAAGGACAAATCAAGGATATTTGTTTCTGATAAATTTGGTTTAAGAATAATAAAAAAGGTACATGATTATGGACATATTGGAGCTGGAACATTGAAAGAGAAAATAAGACCATTTTATTATTTCAAAAACTTTGATCAACTAATTGAAGAATTTTGTAAAAGTTGCACTATATGCTTAGAGAACAAAACTAGAAGAAATAGAATCATCGGATTAATGTCAAAACGAAGACCCGCGACAGAACCATCTCCACTACAAAAAGCCAATGCGCAGCAGATTTCATAAAGTTAATTGACCCGATTGCTAAGAAAAATAATATTAAAATACTTTTAGCTGACCAGTACACCGGAATTAATTCTACAGAACTTAAGCAGTATCTAAACAAGATGAATATTCAAGTGGTTTTTACATGCGTAGATTGCCCTCAATCAAATGGACTAAATGAAAGACTAAACCAAACACTTGTAAACAGAATAAGATGTAAACTTAACAGTGGAGAAAAACAGGCATGGTCCGTTATTGCAGACGAATGTGTCAAAGAATACAATCGGACAATTCATAGTTCCACGAAATTTGAACCGGAATACTTATTATACGGCATAAAGTCAACTATCACTCTATATGACTTATCGGAAAGCGATTTAGCTGCAGATAGAATACAAGCCGGTCGAAATTCTATGCAAAATTTTGAAATAAACGAAAAAAGGGTTGACAAAAATCGTCAAGAGTACGAATTTGAAGTGGGCAATCAAGTCTATATCCAGAATGGGAGTAAACTTAATAGAGGTAAAATGGACAGAATAAGAGTTGGTCCGTTTAAAATTCTTAGCAAGATTTCACCGTCGATCTTCGAAGTAGACTGCGGAAAGAAAAAGGAATCACATTAATAAATTGTCACTTTATGTACCTCAAAAAGTGACTTGAGGGAGAGATGTAAATTATATTTCATATAATTATCTATGTTTAGGTATTCTTT